ACGAAGAACACCAAAGTATGGAATCTTTTACAGTATGATAAGGTTTAATAGAAACAATCGGAGTAGAAATATCTATTCCAAATGTCACGAAGATATAGTTACCATAATCAATGAACTGAATGTCATCAGTTTATGTAAATTCTCAAGAACGTTATGATTGCAGACGCATGTCCCATTATACTTCCAAAAGTTATTGGAAATGAAATGGGTTACTGAATATGGATAAGTAGTATATAGCAATAGGGTGGAATGGAAAGATAAAGATGTCATTGTAAATGACGTCTCACCACCACTAAGAGAGCAAAACTCATACATTGTCCTCCAACATCATATAAACTACTGTGTCACATCCTAATCTACATGTTTATGTAGATACCCATTAGGCTATGCAGTTTCTAGTGTAATAGAAAGTACTTTGAATTAATTTCTCATTACCAGATCCTTAGGTAACCATTCTTCTCCATGGTTGAAACAACTTTATTATTTGGGAGAACACATTGTTTCATTTTCGACAGCTTTGTTCTAATATCACACCTTTGGAAGTTATCCTCACGTGTTTTTAATATCCTCCCTAATTCTTGGTAAAATTTAAACATAAAGTGTCCTAATAGTACGTGACTATCGTTTAAAGTAGTGTTCGAGGTTGGTCATCATCACCACCACCACCACTTAGGTTCGGTGCTGTATTCATAATCAACTGCATGTAATCGGCTGGCAAACGTGAATGCATCTTTCTAAGATGTCATACTTCATTTCATCTGAGGAAGTGAAAAAATTATCTAAATGTCAACACGGTCTTTGAAATTAATAATAAATGCTGTTGAATAAGACAAGTGAAATACCACAACAGTAACTATGAAACAATATTGAAATACCAAGATTTGACGGAGAAGAGAACAGAACAACTACATCTGTTCCATTGCGATTGATTTCAAATCTATGGCTTTCATTGATATGTATCGCTTTTGATGCGAAACTCTGAAAACCGATATCTTTCCCATCCAATACAGTCTCAGCCTAACAGTCAGTGGCAAATGCTATTCATTGGTCCAATCGTATTAAACTTCTTTCTCAATCTACTCAAGTGTCGTACAGTTGATGGCTGGACATGCCTGACACATTTCAGGCACACCAAACGGCTCAGATTCCCATTCTAATCACTCGATTTATTATTCTCTTAATTAAACGCCTTTATTCCACTCTCAGTTTATCACTCCTTGTTGCGAAAGCATTTGTAAGGAAACACCAACCACCTTTACTAGTCTATTCACGTCCTTACTAACGTCTTCTCCTTGTTTGTTCATGTCTAGATGAAAGACGTTCAATCTCGTCTTCAAGCTGCCAAAGAAGAGAATGACAAATTAAAAAAAGAAAACGCTGGATTACGAGATGCTTCGAAAATTCAGCGCGATAATTTAATGAAGATAAGATCATTGATTACAGTAAGTTTACTGAGAGTTTTTACTCATGAGCAGATAGTTTATTATTGTTAGTAGCGAGCATTTCGTTGTCAAAGTTATGAATGGTCTGGAAATACATTAGTGATACTATTTGTTTCCTCAAAACTCAGAAAGACAGTGAAATGTTTAAAGCACCTTCGAGCTAACCGGTATCTTGTGTAAACATTCTTATAAAGTTGGATACTTCATGTACTTTTCATCTTACTCAAACTGTGCATCTAAATGTCATCTGCGATTATTCATCAATTTTCACACAATACGTGTACCAGTAATAATCCCGAAGTCCAACCATACTGATTTTGAGACAGTTATCCATGACAGGCGATAGAAGATAGTCATATACCATAGTGGATCTGTTGAAGCTAGACAGGTACACTGTTGGCTTTCGGCTCAGTGTTCAAAATCTTGAGGGCTTGCGCGTACAATCAAGATTTCTGGTTTCGATCTACTCTTGTTGGGTCGCGAAATAGATGAATAATTGCTGATAACATTTAGATGCACAGTTTGAGTAAGATGAAAAGTACATGAAGTATCCAACTTTATAAGAATGTTTACACAAGATACCGGTTAGCTCGAAGGTGCTTTAAACATTTCACTGTCTTTCTGAGTTTTGAGGAAACAAATAGTATCACTAATGTATTTCCAGACCATTCATAACTTTGACAACGAAATGCTCGCTACTAACAATAATAAACTATCTGCTCATGAGTAAAAACTCTCAGTAAACTTACTGTAATCAATGATCTTATCTTCATTAAATTATCGCGCTGAATTTTCGAAGCATCTCGTAATTCAGCGTTTTCTTTTTTTAATTGGTCATTCTCTTCGTTGGCCGCTTGAAGACGAAATTGAACGTCTTTCATCTAGACATGAACAAACAAGGAGAAGACGTTAGTAAGTACGTGAATAGAATAGTAAAGGTGGTTGGTATTTCCTTACAAATGCTTTCGCAACAAGGAGTGATAAACTGAGAGTGGAATAAAGGGGTTTAATTAAGAGAATAATAAATCGAGTGATTAGAATGGGAATCTGTGCCGTTTGGTGTGCCTGAAATGTGTCAGGCATGTCCAGCCATCAACTGTACGACACTTGAGTAGATTGAGAAAGAAGTTTAATACGATTGGACCAATGAATAGCATTTGCCACTGACTGTTAGGCTGAGACTGTATTGGATGGGAAAGATATCGGTTTTCAGAGTTTCGCATCAAAAGCGATACATATCAATGAAAGCCATAGATTTGAAATCAATCGCAATGGAACAGATGTAGTTGTTCTGTTCTCTTCTCCGTCAAATCTTGGTATTTCAATATTGTTTCATAGTTACTGTTGTGGTATTTCACTTGTCTTATTCAACAGCATTTATTATTAATTTCAAAGACCGTGTTGACATTTAGATAATTTTTTCACTTCCTCAGATGAAATGAAGTATGACATTTTAGAAATGAGGGACTTGATGCTGCCAGTGTCAACAATAAGGTCGTGAAAAACAACACTGGATAAGTACATTCGTCTTTGAAAATAAAGTGCATTACTCGAATTAATAAATAAGGGTTGTGTATGTTTATTAGAATCACCCGAATTCATAGGATCGGGCTTGTAAATATTGGTATTATTTATGGTGAAATGAGCAGCAGTTTAACAAACGGACTTGATGTGTCCCATTTTATCGCTCTCAAAGCATTTGACATGACGAACGGCACATGAATCACGCAGTAAATTATCACAGGATAAATATTTACGGAACCTGTACTCACTTATGTAACCTGCTTTGTAACTTCCCAATATAATTTTATCAGTGTTTCCACAAGGATGAGGATAATCGGTAATTAAACGTATATTTGTATGAACTTGGGTACTCATCGGATTAGGATAACTAAGCAATGTACTGGGATTATTGATGACCTGGAGAACAATTGCATGCACTGCCTCACAACTAATACACGCAGTTCTAGCATCGTGAAGGGAATGCTGCAGCATTTGTAATAGCTTTCTTTCCTGATTTGGTATGTTAATTCCTGCATCTAATTGATCTTCCATCTGCACATGCAGTTGATCACCGAAATCACACATAAGGGATTATATCTGCAACTCAAGGGTAATTTCTCTAACCTTTTGGTTATCCTGTAAATCGTTTTTGAAATTTCGCCTTTACACAGCATTAGAAATTAGTACACTTTACATGGTTTTATAGTAGTTCTTTGATAGTTGCATAGAGATGTGAAACAGTCTTAACTGGGAATGCTAAAGTTTATAATAAGCTATAAGCATCCTTCCCATTGAAATTAGCCGTCATTTTATCATCCTTAACTTCTTTCCTGGTTAGGCTTCAGATTACAGACCTTTCCATGTAATCTTCGAAAACGTCAGAATTGAATGTACATTCAAATATTCTATCAAAGTATCTATCGCGACGTCGATATAATGGTTAGAATTATTCTAATTGACGTGCTTACTAAGAATTCCAGAAATGGGGCAATTTACAGCAAGTAGAACTAGAAGGGCACAAACGAACATATTACATTTGGAATTCGTAGCCAGCGGACTATAAAATACAAAAGAATCATTATTTCGTAGAAAAGCCACATAATTACAAAATAATCATATTTTGTCACACACATAGTAATTGGATCGCCTATTTATTGAATTTATAACGCGATACACACTAAGTTACATAGCCTAGTAGGTCGGTGAAATAGTTAGTTTAGGCCAAAAATATTTGTAAGTTGAGCTACGCGGATGGTGCCTCTTCCCCTAACATTATGACCAAAAAAGTAGGTGGTCTTGTGTTTGGTCACAAATTTGAGTTCGGTTGTCTTAATTTGATCGTTTGAGTACATGCTCATATATTCGTCCTTAAGCCACACTTCAGGTATGATGTATTATAATGCTGCCCAAACTGAAATAGGTGGAGCGATGCACAAATATGTGACCTGGTAAGTAAATGTAGGATACCTTAACTACCAAATTATCCCCCTAGTAAGTTAGAGCTTACATGTATATGTTTGTTTGTCATTCTTATGTTAGTGATGTTCTATTAGAAACCTTTAACTTTACTTTGGCTGTGATCACGAACTTCTTTAGCAAATGCTTTGAGACAAAGCAGGTTTTTCGTAATACTGAAAATCGACCTAAAAAAATATAGAGAACTGTCATTTATAAAACCGAGTGTTTTCACAGTCCATGTTCAATATATTTTACACATAATTTAAGCTCACATTTCCTTCAGGTTTTACAAACTTTTCAGCAGTTAAACTTCCTCGAGTGGAATGTTATATAATTCTCTGTTACTTCAATTCTCACATAAATGCATTCTTTCCTATTAAACGTCGACAATTAGGTATGTTTAGTTTTCATGAGTTACTATGTTCCTGATAGTTTGTAGCCACTAAATGATGTCTTCTATTCTGTTATGTACCAAAAACATTCCGATTGATGTTATTGTTTTTCATTGAAAGTTTTGTTTAAAAACTTCTATAGCTAGGAATATATTATTATCTGTCAACAGCTCTTAGCGCTTTGATACTTCCGTACCCTGTACAAATGGGAATTGGGGACACAAGTGTGAAAGTTGGTGTTCGTGTTCGACCATTGTCAGACAGTGAAGTGAATGACGGTAGTTCGACCTGTTTGTCATATCCAAATGAAGAAAATCAGCTAATAATTGGAAACGACAAGCTTTTTGGCTTTGACTATGTTTTCAAAGAAACAGATTCTCAAGAGTATGTTTACAAAAAGGCTGCACTTCCAATGGTTGAAAATATTCTCAAAGGATACAATGCTACTGTGTTTGCCTATGGTCAAACTAGAAGTGGAAAACATATACAATGGGTAAATGTATCTCCGAAAGTGTGGTAGAAGAATCCACTGGTATTGTTCCTCGAATTATTAAGGATTTATTTGAGAAAATGCCAAATTATGAGTATGAGTATACAGTGAAGGTTTCATTCCTGGAGGTAATATACCCATTTTTGTATTGAGTTATTTCCCAGATATATAAAGAGGATATACATGATCTGTTAGGCGAAGATGTATCAGCATCCCAACAAATACGTGAAGAGAATCAACTTGTTAAGTTATTTCCTCACTTCGTATTTAGAGTTTACTGCATAGATCCCAGGCCTAAGTGAAACAGTGGTCACATCTCCGGAAGAAGTTCTTTATCTTCTTCACTGTGGCTCAACAAAAAGAAGCGTTGCGAGTACGGGGGTGGGGAATTTAAGATCCAGTCGCAGTCATACCATCCTTACTCTATGTTTTTTGTTGCGGCCAAAGATAACAGAGATGGATGGGGAGAATACAGGAGGTACATTAACAGTTAAATTACATTTAGTCGACCTAGCTGGCTCTGAACGAATTAAGAAAACACATGCTGAAGGTGACCGACTTAAAGAAGGTATGTGTATTTTATACGTATCTTTGGATGTTTCTACTGTTATCTTTTGGTGGCGTTTTTTTATTACGTGGTCGACATAAATATATTCTTCATTTGTCTTGCCAAACAGATCAATTAGTAGTTACTCGACATTCAATTTTTTTTCATCACATCAGGTTTGGTTACGCTTGGAAAGGCCCAGTTAGTAAGCAATGTGTTATTGACACAGTAGAATTCATCCCCATACTTACGGACTCTATGCTCTTTAACATGTGAGTGGCATTTAACTCAGTCGATTGAGAAGTTTCACGAGATTATCTTCGACAAGGGTGTTAAACGAAATTGCTATCCTATCAAAGGCCCTGTTGTCATTTGCAAAGCATATGAGCGTTTGTAGAAAATTTTACTCTTTAGTGATAACACTAGATACTATGTTTTTTCCCACCGGTCGAATGTAGGGTGATGTTCCTGGAATACTCTCCTTACTTTTCTTAAATTACAGAGTGAAAAAGTTAAGTGTGTCATATTTTTTACGTATTTAAGTGTTCAGATTAACGAAGTGCTATTAGAGATACAGGCAAGTCGTTTGGAAGTAGTTAAGCCATTTAATTCGTGGTTCTGGAGAATCATCCAATTATTACCGAGGGGTGTGTATACAATGTAGGCGTTTGTTCTGTATTAATTCTTGCAGCTACCTAGATACACGAGCATCTCGACTACTTCTGTCTGTTCACCATCCAGGGTGAGTACAGGATTAGAATCCTGCCAGTCTTGCAGAAGTACTTTGCACTTCGAAGGTGCAAAGCACATACCATACCTACGGACACTGATTGCCAACTGATTAAGTGCGGATTGCATGCCTTGGGCGTTATCGCACAGTAAGACAATATCATCCGCATACTCAAGGTCGAGAAGTCTTTCTCCAGACAACAGATCCACACCACCATTACTTACATTCATCAGAGCTGTTTCCAGAATGTCATCGATGGCAAAGTTGAAGAGGAATGGTGAGATTGGGCAACCCTGCCTAACCCCACTGCTCGAATGGAACAATGGAGAGAGGTGGTTGTATGCCCTCACTCTGCCTGAGGTGTTTGTATATAGGGCTTTTAGGATGTTAATAAACTTCTCAGCCACACCCTTCTTCAATAGACAATCCCAGAGAACAGTTCTGTTCAACGAATTGAAGGCAGCCCTGATGTCAAGAAACACTACGATTGTTGGCCTTTGATAAGTATGGCGATGTTCTAACATTTGGCGGAGGGTGAAGATATGATCAATACATCCTCGACCAGAACGAAACCCAGCCTGCTCCTCGCGAGTCAATCTTTCTCGGGTTTTGAACAACCTAGGAAGTATGACGGAAGCCAATAGCTTGGACGCAATCGTAAGTAGACTTATTCCCCGATAGTTGTTGCAGGAACGACGTGAACCCTTTTTAAAGATAGGGACAACTATCGACTCATTCCATGACGTTGGTACACTCTCTAACACCCAAACCTTTGTAAACAACGTCGTCAATTACTTGGTCAAAAAGTCACCACCATCTTTAAAAAGAGCCGGAGGTAAGTCATCTGGGCCAGGTGATTTGTAGCGCTTCAAGAGTTGGAGTTCCTTGCGGACTTCCGCCTCATTTGGTGGATCAGTCGCCACCGGCCATGGAGGGCAGGACAGTCTGACCGATGTTGCCGGAGCAGCAGGCCAGTTGAACTGCCCTTCGAAAAATTCTGCCTATCGTCCAAGACGTCGATGAGAGTTAGTGATTGGCATCCCATCATCCTCGCAGATTGTTTCACTCACACCAGACTTCTTGCTGCCAGTGGCTCGGATGAGTTGGAAGAGCTTCCGGTAATTACCAGATGCAGCTGCTGCTTCCAGTTCATTAGCACGCTTCGACCACCAAGCTTCTCGGTCCTTACGCAAGCTTTGCCCAATTTCATTACGTAACATCCTTCATTTGTGGTCAAACTCACGGTCACCCAGAGTAGACCGACGGGCTTCAATGAGTTGTAAGGAGCCTGAATAAACCCAGTGCTTATAAGCGGGACGTTTCGCGAACCCACAACTGACTGTACCCGCCATTTTCATGGCGTCATGCAATTGCAACCAATGCTCATCCATACTTTTCAGTGGAATGGTAGCTAGCCTAGAGGCTAGCTCGGTTCGATACTTACTTGCAACAGAAGTCGCAACCAGCTTGTTAATATCGATCCGTTGATGGCGGTCACTTCGTTGTCCACTGAAAAGTAAGGTAAGATTGGCGCAGACCAAGGCATGATCAGAGTCCAGATAGTTACTCCAAAAGGAGCGGCAGTCTTGTACACAACCAGAATGGTCAGATCTCTTGCTGACCATTTCTCTAGGATGAGCTACAGCCTCTCATGAAATTAGTCTTTGTCATCCTCCTTCCTACTGTTGGTGATTTGGTAGCACTGGATGATGTTCATTGTAATCATGTCCGCTTTTATTTTGAAAGATGCTTTAATGTATACATTTGGCCATGTGAGAGCATTTCGAGAGGAAGAGCGGACTCTCCCCACCCTTGGTCCTATCAGGGCATTTATGGGCCAACACCTTGTATGTGGGAAGCATCGTGTGCTTCATGAGCATAATAAGACAACACCTTTTTTAAAGTTTGTCTTTTCTACCCAGACTATATTCAATGGGTTTCGCTTCTTCCAAATACAGCCAGATTGTTTCGTCTTATTTTTGCGACTATCTTAAAAACTCATTCCGTCTCTCACATTGTTCAAACATTCCACGTCCATTTATTCGTCATTGTTTTCGGTTGTCAGAAAAAGCGTCGGCATCTTGACTTTCAAAAAATCTCGACTTCCCAAATTCAACACTATAAATCTTCTATATGAAGACTCATCAAGTCACAGCTGAAGGTCTAATTAGTTTTCTGTGGTTGGCGTTCTTTTCGGTAGATTTATTTTTCACAAGGTAGATTCGTTAAGCTTACGGTCAACTGTGGTCCTAAAGGACCGGGACTAGCTCTACGCGGAATTACTTGTACTCAGTATTATTAAATATTTTGAATAATTTCAGTTGCTTGATTAATATTTTTATTTGTCCATCTTTTTTTCTTTAGAATAGTCCACCTACTACTAGACTGATTATCGACAACAAATCATCAAACACCCGTATAGTTCGTCAATATAGCAGTAATAATAATTGTACATTTACTTTGTTAAGTGATGATGAGAATGAGAATGTATATCCGCAAACAAACATTGCTACCGATAAATCCCTAAACTTCGGTGATGATGTAAACACTAGTGATGAAGACGAAGCAGGTGTGAATTTAAAAAAATTGAAAACGAACGAAGTTTACCATTTACGGTAGTGACTGATATTAAAGTGAGTACATGTGTAATGTTCACTCTCCTCTTCATCGTCTATCATATTTATCTGGATAGCCAGGATTTTTTGTACTATTGATATATTGTAGAATATGGGTACAAACCTAGGTAGAGATAGTTGACATGATTTGGCTTTTATCTAGAAAACCAATAAGCAAACTGAACAACTGTTTTTTCTTAGTATGTAATCTTTAAGTAGTGTACATATATTGTACTTTCAAGAATCAAATCTTAGACCTTCAACTCGTGGCAAGTATTTAATCTTTAGAAATTAATGAATTCAGTTAGTTTTAATCGATGTAGACGCAAGCACAAATGTACTTTGGTCCACGTTTTCCTACTAAATCAACACTGTGACAAAATTAACTCGATAAATAGCTAAGTAATTGAAGTAATCGTGGTGGTAATGATAATATGAATGACAACATATTGGACATATGGCTCTCAAAGAATGAACGTATGGAGGAACACTGAAAATGAAGATGTAAAGGAAGATAAATGGTAATTGCATATGTGCCACTGTATTGAACTTTACACCATATCACCTTGTTCTTCCAACCATTGGTCAGGATAATCACGCAAGCCCCGACTACTGACTGCCTTTAGGCGAGATGTTGGTCAGTAGCGTAGTAGTTTCAGTTTCAGTTTGGGAAGGGCAGGAGGCTCGATGGCCTATGTTAGTCCTGGCAATGGTGGTCTCTCAGTTGATCCAACTTTCTTTTGAAAGAGTCGACGGATGCAGCCTCAACCACGTGCTGAGGTAGTGAATTCCACTCGTTGATGATTCGATGGGAAAGTTGATAGTCAGCTGACAAGTAATTTGTCCTTGGCTTGTGATCTTTTTTGGAGTGTCCTCGTAAATTCTCTGTTTTGGAAGGCAAGAAAAATGAGGGCATATTAGGTGCAAATTTATCACTAAGCAATTTGTAGACTGTATTCAAGTCGCCTCTAGTTCTGCGATATGACAACGGGAAATGGTTCAGCTTGGCCAGTCGAACTTCATACGGAAGCTTCGCTATTTCGGGAATCAGCTTAGTCGCCGTTCTCTGAACCTTTTCCAGAAGCTCACTGTCTTTTTTTAAGCAGGGGCTGGCCGCTTGTATGCAGTACTCAAGTTTAGGACGTACGAACACTGCATACAAAGTCAAAAACGTTTTAGCGTCGACATGACTAAAAGCTCTACGTATTGACCATAAGGTTCTAAAACCTTTGGCGGCTATGGCACGGCAGTGTGCAGTAGTCTTTAAGTCTTGACTAACGATAACTCCTAAGTCATTATATGTCTGGACGACAGGTAGCTCAGTGTTATTCATCGTGTATGTATCTGTGCCTTGAAGACCGATATGCATCACAACACACTTGGAAGTATTTATCGGCAACTGCCATGTTTGAGACCATTCAGATAACTTCTTCAGGTCATTTTGAAGTTCTAAGCTATCACTCTTACATCGTATCGTTCTCCATATCTTGACATCGTCAGCATATAGAAAGACCGATGATGATAGGAGACAAGGAAGGTCATTTACATACAAGAGGAATAGCACTGGCCCCAAAACTGTACCCTGGGGAACTCCACTAAGCACAGTTTCCCAGCTAGATAACTTTGAGTTCACCCTTACTCTTTGTTGACGCCCAACTAAGAAGTCTTTTATCCGACTTTTCTTAACTTATATAACAGCCGGTTGTGTGGAACTTTGTCAAAAGCTTTACTGAAATCAATGAAGGCTACGTCTACAGGTAGTTTTTGGTATTTAAGGGCGCACCAGCTTTCACGAGCCACTAATAAGTTAGTGAGACAAGAATAACCTATTCTGAAGCCGTGCTGCTTCTCCGAGAGGATCCGGTTTTTATCAGGATACTTAAACAGCTCCTTCCGAATAATCTTTTCTAATATTTTAACAACCACACTAGTTAGGCTAACGGGGCGGTAGTTCTCAGGTTTGTGTTTCGTGCCTGTTTTGAAGACAGGACTTACTATGGCGTTTTTCCAATCTTTCGGTAAGCGACCCTGCGTAACGGATAAGTTAAAGCATGTACTTAAAGGGCTTGCAACGAAGTTAGATAGTTCCTTCAGTAACCTAGGATGTAATTCATCGGGCCCCGTGGATTTACCTATGTCAAGCTTATTTAGCAGACCAAAGACATCGAGTTCTTTAATGGTCACGCTATCCAGTGTATGTATGGGGGGATCTGTATACGCTGACGGGAAGGGCGCTTCTATGGTATATACGTTGCTAAAGTAGTTCGAGAACACTTGAGCCTTACCAAAGTTGTCATCCACTAATGATGAAGCAGCACTGTCTCCCCATAGAGCAGGAATACTTCCTTTACTCCTTGTGCTTTGGTTTATATAGGAATACAAGCGTTTAGGATATTCTATGGATTCCTTAACAAGTTTTCCTTCGTACAATTTTCTAGACTTACCGAGAGTCGAGGCACAAGTATTCCGAGCCTTTCGATACTGGGATTTTGACTCATCAGTCCCCAGTAACCTAAATCTATCCCACATTTTCCTTTTCTTACGGAGAAGGATACGGACCTCCCTGCTGAGCCATGGTGGTGAGTTTTTCGGCCCCTTTGGTATAGTCCAAGGGATGTGAGGTGTGGTAACTTTTAAGTATGGATTTCGAAAGGCGTCCCAGGCCGTTTCAATGGAGGACTCTGGGTCTATTGTCCAATCTATTAACGATGCTGAGTGCATGATGTCTGGTATGTTTGCTTTCCAGACGTTGGGTCTGGACTGGACTGACGCGTGCTCGTGACTGGCAGTTATATGGAAGTCGAAAGTTATAACTGCGTGGTCACTTTTACCTAGGGGTGGCATATGATGGAGGTTCGCAACATCATCCTCATAGTGAGTCAGTATAAGATCTAATAAGGATGATTCAGTGTCCGGATCGTACCTTGTCGCTTCTTTCACATGTTGCACTAGAGCACATGTGATAACCCCATCCACTAGTTCCTGCTCGAAAGAATTCTCCGACGATTTAGTTCTCAGATTTTCCCAGTCTACCATAGATGCATTGAAGTCCCCTAGGATTAGACATCGACCACTTTGAGACCAAGTATTGAAACTGCTTAACAGGATCTCATTTGCCTCACAGCTTGGACTGCGATAGACCAAACCAATCAGCAGCTCTTGTCCCTTGCATTTCAAGCGGCAACTAACTAATTCACACGTCCCACTCTCATGGGATACACTACCGATAATGGCAAATGGGATAGCATTCCTAATGAATAGAGCTACTCCCCTTCCTTTGCGCTTTTGTGTTCTGTCGGCCCTTACTAACGTAAAGCCCTCGAAATCAAGTTCCATACTATCTATAGCCTGTGTCAGCCAGGTTTCTGCGATTATATCTGGCTTTGTAGAGTCAATCTGTACACCTAGTTCCGATCGCTTATTAAGTAAGCTTCGTGGATTGGTGTAACAGATCCGAAGCCTGTTTAAGTGCCTTCGTGCTTCACCCAGAGTGGCTTCGGCATCATTCTCTGTCGAAGTCTTACAACCCGGAAATCTACAATTTTCAGGTCCTTTTCACCAGCATCTAACCTAAGTTGTAGTTGTTTCTCTGCTTCCCGTCTTTTAACACGGTCTGCCAACGGTAGGTCCTTTCGGATAAAGACTCCTGAACCCTTTAATTTGTGTCCATTCTGTAAAATTAGGTCACGTTCGTTCGAAGATCCGAATACTACTTTAAGCAGTCTGGAATGATTTGGTTTCGAGTCCGCTAGACTCCCTAGTCTGAACACCTTTAGCAAGGTGACCCCGGTCATATTTTGAGGCATGAGTTGATTAAGCAGCTGCCTAATCAGTACAATGTCATGCTCAAAACGAGCTTTAGGTTCAGAGCTCTCGCTCTCCTTGATTCTATGAAAAATAGCTGATCTGTCGCTATGATCAGCTTTCCATTTTTCAGCTACTTTTACGGGGGCAGGGTTCCATTTTATATCCCTACTTTTCTTCCTGTACCCATTCGTCAACGGTGCTGGTAGAAGCAATAACAGTTGCGTCGAACCTAGTGTTGGATTTTGGGGAGTTGTCGACGACCTGAGGTCGGATTATGTTTATCGCTTGAAACCGATCGAACCTTGCGATTGCGGCTTATAGGTGTTTCCTGTTGGATCCCATCTGGGAGACGGGGAACAGAAGACCCTACTTTTCTTGAGCTTTTGTTTAAAGCAGGCCCCTTTGGAGGCTGCTTTTCCTTCTTTGACGGGCGTGAGTTATCTATCATCGAACTAACCTTAGTTTCCTTCACGCTGATTTGCGTGTCGACAGATCGAGTGCTGTTTGACGCGTTCCGACTATGCTTGCTAAAACACTTCTTTGCAGCATCAACCAGTGAGATGGCCTCGGTTAACAAGCTGTTTGCATCCGAGCAGCGCTGTTGACAAAGCCATACACAACCCTTCTTACTGAACCGTTTGAAAGCAGCAGGCGTTAAGTTCGTGCAAACTTCGTGGTACCAGCCTTTGCACTCGTCGCACTGCATGCCGCTTTCAACAGGATAACGACAACCCGGACGTCGGCAAATGCTTTTTTTTTACACTGTCCGATCATTTAGGAGGGTTTTTTTCAAGATGCGATGATACTCAAAAACAAAAAAAAATCAATGACCAAAAAGGTGAAGAGCTGTAGATTGCTAGGACCAAAAGTACTAACAGATACAGTTGAAAAAGAGGTGCTCAAGAGTACCAATGACAAAACTAATTTGGAACAGTAAAAACAATTCTCTAGTCGAATACTTTTACTGAAATAAATTCAATTAAAGTGAAAACAGTAGTCTTTATACGTAATAAACGATCAAAACAAAGAAATTTACTCAGTGAGGAAAAATACCACTGTCCTTTTTAAATGGCGCGCTTACTTCAGGTTAGAAGAATACCAACTCTCCACATGGAAATGAAAGGACAATTTCTGAAGCTATTGGCTGTTGAGTTGAACTGGTTCAGACTAACTGGTCGAGGTCCATGCGATTATGTTGACCAGTGGTTGGAGATTGGGTGATGTGCCTCAGAATTGGTTGTAATAAAGCGGATACTCTTACTGCTTGTTTTCTCTTAGATCTTAATTTTTAAAGTTGTCATATGGTTTTCATTCTATTTATTTATTCTTTCTTCTCTGGTCACTTTTCCCAAGGGTTTGATTTATTTCTGTCACTATTACTACCATTTCTACTACCTGGGATTTCCTTTGTAATTTCAACCTGAACCGAGCACATGTGTGCCGGGTCCTCCTCTGCATATGACTGATTGGCCGACAATCTGTTAGTCTGTGTTCATTAACATGGTTCACTCCAACAGTTAGTGATTTTACGGTCTAATCCCAGTTCTTTTTTGACTTTCTTCAGCCTTCTTCGATATTCATGTAGGATCCATGCAAACCAGTAGTCCAAATAAACATCACAATCCTAAGGATCGAATGGTGGAACAGAATTGTCTCTGTGATTGAAATCATATATATATATATATATATATATATATATATATATATATATATATCGTACATATTCTATCTCTTTATGGTTCTGACGTGAGCTATTTCATATTTCCTTTACGTTTAATCATAACTGTCAGCCATTTACTTCTTGACATGAAAAACTGAACTGAATTGTGACATAAAGTGTGTTCTGGGTGGGCAATTCAAGAGTGAGTTCACTTTACAGTTTAATGTCGAAGTATTTACTTAACAATATTTGTACATATTCATAGTGATGTTAAATAGTTATTAAATAAATTCCTTTTTATTTCCATTAATCAGTGAAAATCTGATGCAGATTCACATAAACGTCGATGTAAATGCCGAGCAACATGTCAAGCACGGTGTAGTTGTAAACGTTCTGGTCGTCCATGTGTCCCATCACATTGTCACTGTGTATTAGGTCTATGCAAAAATCGTTCAGATTCATCATCGCAAAACAGTCAAATAGTCAGTTCAGTCGAAAATCCTGCAACTGTTATGGGACCACCATCTGGATTTCCCGTTATATTACGTCCCAAACGTAAAACTCGTGCACTACAAATTTGATTGAAGAACAACAAAAATAAACATATGACTCACACACTGATGAATGAAACGTATAATTTAAACAAACAACAAACTTGTACATCCATATCAGAAAATAATGATAATGATGATTTACAATCTCCAACTGACAATTCGCAACTATCTGACGGTGGGTCACTTCGTTATTTATGGCCTAAAAATCGTTTATCTTATTTTCCCAGTCCACTATTGCGTTCAGACAGATAAACGTTTTCTACCGGCCAAAAATCTCCCAGAAATGTACTTCACCATCCTGTCTACATTGGTTTCCTTTCTTAGTTTAGAACACTTGTACGTGGTTTCTGTGTATGGACGCTATTATTTTATCTCTTTTCCCTTCTTCTATTCAGTTTATGTATATATTTGTTGCTAAAGACAGAACCAGTAGGATAACATTAATTTGTGTGTTGTGTTTTGCTTCTTTATTTTTCACAATCGTAGTCCATTTCATTATGTATATTTTGGCTTCGATATCGTGATTTGTTGTTCATTAAAGAATAAATACACTAAAACAATCGTTGTGAAACCGTTCCTGGTTTCCTCTTGTAATTCCACATTGTTTTTCTATTTTTTCCCCGAAGCACATACAGGACCCTAGTGTGGTCATTCACTTGACCTCACCTCGCCAAAACGGAGAGCTGATAAGGTACATGCTCCGTTTATCTGCCCCGATCGGAGCTGCTACCTTGACGCAGTGGTCGAGCTTGCCTATCGCGATGACCCAACCGAGCTATATTGGCTGGAACATATGTTCCTGTAGGTTCTACCATGACAGGCAGGTCGATTGGAGAACGGTAAGACTAAAAGCAGCAACTCAAGGTCGGAGGGCGAAGTCGTATTGCTGACTGTAGAGGGGTGTGACAGCAGCGGCAAGTTGTTTCTCTCGGACAACCAGCATCTGCAGCGATGCTGCCTTCTCACAAGGAGGGGTGGGGTTAGAAAAGGTCGACCCTAAAAATGTCACACCTCACCTTACCTCACGGATTGCCGTCCCTGGCGGTAAGGCCCTTTGAAGAATGGAGCTAACACGTCAAAAACCTCCCACAAAAGGTCGTGCGCGACCGGCCTTGAGCAGTTGTCCCTGGGCTCTGCGGTCACGCTCCCAGATTGTTAAGGCCGGCATTAATCCGACTTCCTTTTCAGGTTCCTCAAGAAACACCCTTCCACGGTGTGGGCAGCCGGGAAGTGACACCAGCCCTCATACCTGTAACAGCACACGAGACCAAGTTGGTCACATTCAAATCCTTCCTACACCTAATACCACTCTTATCTCCCCGACTAACTCTTCTCACGTCCTTTTATCACCTTACACCGCCAGGGCAAACGATTTGAGTACGTGGAACGTTATTCCTGGTCTCCTGAAACCACGCTCTAAACTTCATGTTGGAGCTTATAACGTCCGAACACTGCCAAATAGAACAACAAGCTTCCTTAGCTAGGACTTTAGAATCTCGCGCCATCGATGTGTGCTGCGTCTCCGAAACGCGCATGCAGGATCCGAGTAGCGTCATTCATTTGACATCATGTCAAAGTAACGAACCAACTCGATTCATAGGAAACTTGAGAAGAAAGTAAATCTTAGTAACTGTGAGAACCACGAAGAAGGGGTTACACCATTGTTAAAGCCAGGCAAAGTTTGCAACAGAGCGTAACTGAAACGAGCGAAGGATTCAGTAGTAACCCAACTTAAAGACCAGCGTGAAGACTTTTATAAGTATCGATTATGTACGGGCGAAATCGAGGTAGTACAACTCAATGTTGAACAATCAATCGAATGGAACTCATTGCTGTACAGCAACTTCCTTGATTATGAGAAAGGAAAGGAAAGAGTGGATTTTTTCAAAAATATGGAGTGCCTGAAAAGATTTTCATCTTTATACGGAAGTCTTACGAAGTACTAAATTGCGAAATTGTGCAGGGAGGGTAGCTCACAGATGTATTTCAAGTGAAGACCAGTGTCAGACAAGACTGGTTACTCTCGTTTTTCTTCTTTTTTTCCAGCTGCTGACTGCACTATGAAGACCATAACATATCTGGGGATGCACGGAATACAGTGAACACCTTAGACTTTGTAGATGACCAAGTACTATTATCCCACTCCTAGCAATAAATTTAGGCGAACACAGCCAGTATAGAAGTGGCATCAATAGAAATGGTGCTTAGCATTCACAAAGGAAGAAGCAAGATCATAAAGATATTTGGCGATACTTTCAATGATCCATTATACTATAAATGACAAGTATTCTCAAGAGGATAAGTGTAGTGTAGCCTAAATATTGTTAAATGGTATTGATGATCTTAGTTCCTTTGCTTATTAAACAAAATATGCACTTGATTGATACATGGTGCAATATGAGACCAGAGTGATTTATGGTCGCTTATGCATATAACCCATAAAAAATGTGCTCAAGATGATATTAAAATAGCAACAACAATTAATATTACATAAAAAGCCGGAGCAACTGGTACAGTCGTTATTTTTACTTCAGAATTTATACGCTCGCACCGCTAGGACAAACGATTTGAGTACGTGGAACGTTATTCTTGGTCTCCTGAAACCATGCTCTAAACTTCATGTTGGATCTTATAACGTCCGAACACTGTGCCAAATAGAACAACAAGCTTCCTTAACTAGGACTTTAGAATCTCGCGCCATCGATGTGTGCTGCGTCTCCGAAACGCGCATGCAGGATCCGAGTAGCGTCATTCATTTGACATCACCATGTCAAAACAAAGAACCAACTCGATTCACACTTCGTGTATCTGGAAGCTCAGATGCCGCTTGTCGTGGACTCGCCGGCGTAGGTATAGCATTGAGTCCTAGGCAGAACTAGCTCTCTTAGACTGGATCCTAGTAGACAGTCGTTTGTACGCTGTCCGACTAAACGGAACAATAAGGACTCGGGAAGATAGTGACACTCGTCGTTGCCTCTTCGTCGTCTCTGCCTATTCTCCCACTGACTGCAGCTCAATTGATGTAAAAGATGAGTTTTACAGAAAGCTTTCCAACCTTCTCCGAAAAACTAGGCGCTCTGATGTAATTATAGTGGCTGGTGACTTTAATGCTCAAGTGGGTATACTAAGCGAGAGGGAAAGACACCTAGGTGGATCTTATGGTGTCGTGGCTCAAAGAACAGATAATAGCGACCGTCAGTTGCAGCTATGCTCAAATAACTGCCTGTTTCTTGCAAATACAAACTTTAAGCATAAGGAAAAACATCTTTTATCATGGCGACCCCCGAATTCCTCCCAACGTTGGACCCAAATAGATCACATCGCTATCAACCACCGATGGAGGGGCTCGATAGAAGACTGTCGCTCATCCTGGAGCACATGCCTAGATTCAGATGATGCTCTATTGCGAGCGCGTATTTGCCTACGTCTGACTGGACGTAGCAAGACGCTGCAAGGAAATTTCATAGGGGCCTACTTAATGATAGTCAAACTAAGAGTATATTTGAGGAACAACTAGAAAAACAGTTAGGCAGCCATGTAGGTGATGCCCACCCCGAGGCAGCATGGAATGATATCCGAAAAGCTGTGGAAACAGCAGTGATATCTACTAGTACGGTAAACCGTAAGGTTAGGGAGAAACACTGGATCTCAGCAGCATCTATCGCACTGATAGATGCTCGAAAACTCATACCATCTGGATCTGAACATGACGAAGAGCGGAGTCAGCTTAAGCGCAAGCTGACAAGAAGTCTACGCAATGATCGCGAACAGTGGTGGTTATCGAAAGCAAGAGAGATGGAAAAGGCAGCGGCAATAGGTAATAGCAGACAGTTGTTCAGACTCTTTAGGGAAACCGGAATTAGGAAACCGACTGTTAGCGAAACAGTGTCAGAGAAAGATGGACATATTATTCATTCTCAATCCAGGAGATCGGATCGATGGACAGAACACTTCAGGGATCAGTTCAACTGGCCTTCAGCCACACTTCGGTTTCCCACGATCTCCAGTCAACCTGAATGGCAAGTTAATGTAGGTCCTCCGACTCTTTATGAAGTTGAAAAAGCTATAGGAAATCTGAAGCGAGGGAGAGCAGCAGGCCCTGACAGGTTCAACCCTGAGATTTTTAAGTATGGTGGTCCAGCATTAGCAGTGAGATTAACTGAGGTCTTAGGTAGAATTTGGGATCTGGACGCAATCCCATCTGACTGGTCTCAATCACTGATTGTGCCAGTCTATAAGAAAGGACAAAAGTCCTATTGTGACAATCACAGAGGAATCAGTTTGACTAATATAGTGTTTAAAATATTAGCTTCAATAATACTTCGACGCCTAACTAAAGCTCGTGAAAAGCAGACTAGAGAAAATAAGGCGATATGTGCAACCATGTTTATACTTCAAGATAAGTTCAAATGCACTACTAATCACTAAAAGTTACACATGTGATAACAAATGAACATGCAGCTTGGAAAACTTTCACATGAGAGGAAACTGACCAAATTAATATTCATTTAGGTAAACAGGGTTTGTAGAGATTATTAAGTTTGAAAAAATAGCATCACAGACTCAACTTAAACAACTATTGAAAATCGAAAGGCAGTAAACAGCTGTGTTTTCATGGTATGGGACACCTCAGTGGTACGTATTCGTGACCCGAAAAGAGGAGATCGAAACCAGGACCTTTGGTTGTACGCGCCAGCCCTTAAGATTTTGAACGCTGAGCCGGAAGCCAACAGTGCACCTGTCTAGCTTCAACAGATTCACTATGGTATATGACTATCTTCTATTGCCTGTCGTGGATAACTGTCTCGAAATCAGCATGGTTGGACTTCACCAGTCATAACTTCTCACCAGTGAGCACAGGATTATTGTTGCTACACGGATTTTGTGGAAATTGATGAATAATCGCAGATGACATTTAGATGCACAGTTTGAGTAAGATGAAAAATACATGAAGTATCCCACTTAATAAGAATGTTTACACAAGATACCGATTAGCTCGAAGGTGCTTTAAACATTTCACTGTCTTTCTGAGTTTTGAGGAAAAAAATATTATCAATACTGTATTTCCAGACCATTCATAACTTTGACAACGAAATGTTCACTAATAACAATAATAAACTATCTGCTCATGAGTAAAAACTCTTAGTAAACTTACTGTAATCAATGATCTTATCGTCAATAATTTATCGTGCTGAATTTTACAAGCATCTCGTAGTTCAGCATTTTCTTTTTTTAACTGGTCAATGTCTTCA